CGGATCACCTAGGCCCTAGTTGATTAGTTTCCTAATTTTTGGACAAATTTTAAAAGAAAGACTCGCCTTTTTTTTTTTTCGTATATGTTAGTAAGCCTAAGGAGTGATACAGGGTGAATTGAAAAAGAAAAGCATGTGTGCTTCCTGAAAAAGCTTTTTGAAGCAGCGTCTAATATGTGTTTCGCCAAAAACGCTTATATGAAACATAAACATTTCTAAAGTTTTCCAAGCAATCTCATGCATGCCTTATATAACCGTTCAATATTCGACAATTAATAGCATTATTAGAGATTCAAAATAACAAAATGATTTTGTAGCCCAAGTTATTATTTATAACCTTCGCATTTATATTAATAATAATAAAAACCTTCATGTTTATAAAATAAAAATGAGTTATTTTTACTTTATTACCCTCAAATATAGTGAAATTTGCACTTCGTTGCCCTTAGTTTTTTTCGTCTAAGTAACTTTGATTTTTACAATGGTTTTATACATATGTTAGGTGTTTTGTCAAATTTTTCGCTAAGTGATAACGTGACATAACTTTGGCCCATCATATTTGCTAAGAAGTATCACCCAATGGCTTGGATTTACAAGATAATTTCACATTCATGTGGAAACTGTGGTGGCCAAAGTTATGCTACGTCATCACTTAACGAAAAACTTAATTGAAAACCTAACGAAATTATTAAAGTGTCATAAAAATCAAACTTTAAGTATGAAATTGAGGCAAAAAAATTTTAAGGTAGCAAAATACTAAAATAAAAATCACCCAATCAAAATATTAAAATACAAAAAAAAAAATACAAAAAACAAAAAAAAAAAAGTCCTTTCCTTTTTTATTTTTTGGAAAACCAAAAGTCCTTTCCTTTTACGGCAAGTAGATTCCTTTGGCTTCTTCTACAAGTGCTCGGTTTGTGGTTGTCGGCGGCCTTCTCGTTTTGTAATTAGATATTTACGTTTATTTAACCGCCAAACAAACACAAAAACTTAATATTTTTTTTTGCGAAGAAATACCTTCCGAAAGGAAAAGACCATAAACCCTAGCGCTTGGCTGAGCCCTAACGGAACTGTTTCTCCGACCTCGAAAGAGCTACACAAATGGTGAGTCGTCTTCCCAATATCCTCGATCTTTCTGTGTATATATTTGTTTCGATATGCGAATCTAAATTTCTTCATATCCGAAAGGGAAGTAATTTGTAGATTGGGATTATCTGGGTGATTCCAAACAAGGGTTTAGCGTCTGTTCTAGATGTAATTAGGGCTCAATTAGCTAAACAAACCTTCGGATTCAGATGAAAAAGCTTGGGAGCTGAAAAATTTCGAATCTTTTGTCTACATTTGAAAAATAAGTTGATTTTTTCAGATTATTTGCTTTTTTATTGCCTAATGAGCGAGAAGTTTAAAGAATTTTAATCTTTATGGATCGTTGGTGTTGATCATTGAACACTGTCTCTTGTTTTTATTTTTCGTTTTGATTCGTTAGAATTTAGGTGTGGTACTGTCCATATTTGAGTTGGGAATTTTATGCTTTGTGTAACTCGGAATATAACAACAGAAGATTGTATACAGTTGAGCCTTTATGTTTGATTTCACAGCTATGTACTCTGTTTTTCGAGGATGAGTTAACTGCCCCTAGTTGCAAAATAGTTTTTTTTTTTTTTTTTTGTGACATTGCTGCACACGCTACTGGTGAAGCTTATGTATAAGATTTGCAACAGGTCACGCCGTTGGTAGGAGGAATTGCTGTAGCTGCTGCTGCATATGCTGGTAGGTATAGCATTCAGGCTTGGCAAGCGTTCAAAGCAAGACCACCTACAGCTAGACTGCGGAAATTCTATGAGGGTGGTTTTCAATCTACCATGACCAAAAGGGAAGCTGCTCTCATACTCGGAGTGAGGTACCACCAACTGGCCCCTTCTTGAAATATATATTAATCTATGTTGTATTTGAGTCATGGAAACTATATTGCGACAGGTTAATGTACATTATGGCGATGATTGCATAAAAATTTCTTTGAAATGTTCCTGTTGCTAATGTTTCCTCAAATATGAGTCTATTATTCGGGTGTGGAGTTTTTCAAGCAATTGCAGCTCTACTGCCTTACATATATAGAATGGAATAAATGGATGAGGCTAGGTCTATTTGGTAGTTGGACTGGTTAATCCTTAAGCATGTCCGAAGGAGCTTATTGCTTACTTTAGAACCCACTATGTAATTAGCAGTTCCTCCCTTAGTTGTAGTTGTGGAAGCCTGGTCTTTTTATTTCGTATTGTACCTATTGGTATTCCTTGCTTCTTTCAGAACCTTGGCCCTGGCTTCTTTACATTGTTTGAATTGCTCCTGTTTACCAAACAATTGGGTAGCAAAGGACAGAGGCTCATCAATTTCTGCACCGGTTCCGGAAGAGCAAAGAAAAAGGGGCCCAAGAATTGCGGTATAGTCTTTGGGAACTTGCAAAGAAAGAGGCTCAGGAAGAGGAACCTCTGACCCAGATCACGAAGGGAACTCTATCCTTAAGCCTAGTCTTTCACCATTCAAAGTACTACCGCTGCCTTCCCTTTCTATAACATGCCTGGGGTGCCCTCCTTACCAATCTAATCAAAGCCCTACAGTAATGTTTCGTCTGTTATTTAGAATTACAAAATTAACCTTAGATCAGCAGCAAATATGTGCCAGCAGGCTGTGGTTCATTCCTTTCACCCTTCTTTGCAGCCAAAGTTGGGTTATTTAGAATTGCAAAATTTGTTACTTTTTTCTTTTCTTTAGTCATATATGTGTCAAAATGTTCATCCTGTCACCGATCTTTTAACCGTAGCGGTGGTTTTAACCCTTTATATACCTGAGCCTTGAGGTTAGCTGATTAGCATCCAATATTTTAGGTTCTGCTCAATTATAACTTTGGAGAGCTTGTGGGTGCCTAGCACAAAATTGGTTATCTGTTCTAGGTCCTTTGATTTTCACAAGAGATTTCTTCATTGGCCTAAATGACAGGAAGCTCAACTAGTGCTGGCATGTTTCCTATTATCGGTCTTCAGTAGCTTAAGCTGTGTTATTATTGAGTTATACAGTGAATTTTCCAAAGCTTGATATTGTGCTCAGAAGTTCATTCTTTCGTCAAAATTTCAAACTTGAGTATCTTTACGCCTGACATGATCTCAACCCATGCACACTTGGTCCTGCTCAATTAGAGCAAGTCTTTTTTTTTTTTTGGTCAATAGAATTAGAGCAAGTCTTGAGCTGTAAGACCGAGAAAAAGTGCAAGCTGTGGGGTACTGTTTTATTGTCCTTTTGCATGTATCCTCTATACGTGATGTTCATGTATATATATTTTGTATTTTTCTCAGGGAGACTACTCCTAAAGACAAAATCCGGGAAGCACATCGGAGGGTGATGGTTGCTAACCATCCGGATGCAGGGGGTAGTCATTACCTTGCATCCAAAATTAACGAAGCTAAAGAAATGATGCTTGGAAGAACCAAGGGCACCGGCTCTGCATTTTGATTGTATTAACTTGTCCTTTCCGTTGCACCAATGCCATTCTTGCAAAGGTTTCACATAGTGAGTTTTATGAGTGTCATCTTTGTTTCGGATCAATAATTTTCGGCGTATATGAACAATTCTGTAGCAGTGAAATTATAATTTGAGGATCCTGTAGTTGGTTCTAATTGGAACTCTTGTACGTTTAATTTCGTGAAAATTCTGTAGTAGTGAAGTCATATTTCTGGGATCTTTGCTAATTTTCTTTGCTCCTCAAAACTCAGGAACTCCTCAATACGACACGTATTTTTTTGCTGTGACATCCTCTGTCAATTTAATTTTCTTTCCTAAACAATCTATTTAATACGGAAAATAAGCTGTGAAAAGACTAAAAACCCTCGTCTTCACTAAAGGCCAAACAACCATAATGTTGGGATACTTTCTACTCTTTACTATTTTTTTTTTTTGTAATTTTGGGATACTTTCTTATCTTCTGGGTCCTTCAATGCATATGAATCTCATATCTACCAGAGAGATGGTGCAAGTGATAATATAAATATGTGTGTTACTCTTTGATTTATAATCATTTTCCTTGTGTGTAGAATGAAAAATTGGGCGTAAAAATCATTTCCTGTTGATTACACCTAGGAGTCAATTTTAAAGAGAGTGATGTAGAATATTTGAGTGATTCGGGGATGGTAGATGATGTCGATGATGTGTTGGAGATTTGCGATTTGGGAATTAATAAATACATATTTTTAGTTTGTCACACATCCTTGTTAATTAGTATGTTGTTCTAGTTTGTTTTATCCAATACAAATATCAAAAATAAAGAAAAGTGTGTGAAAGCCAAATAAGGTTTGTGATAATCTCCTATGGGGGTAAGATTAGTCGACATTCACCTCTCCCACACCCTGCGTAAAGCGGGAGCCTTGTGCACTGGGTACGATCTTTTTATCTACACGCATTGAAAGCCGATGTTTTTGAGCCGTTAGATCAAATCTGATGGTCATTGTTCATTTATGTTTTAGCCTTTGAATAAAATTCAAACAGTGAATTGCAATCTGTGCTAGTAGGCACCGAAGAAAAATCAAAATCGATTAGGAGAATGAATGGAGAAGTGTTAGAAAAGACGAGAGCCACCAAAAAAAAGCACAAAATTGGCAGCACCATATTGGAGACTAGATGATAGCTCAGACACCGAAAACAGAGCGCCCATGTGATGCCTTTAACTGACTTTATTTAGTCTCATTTACTCTTGAAAATTACACATTGAGCATCAACCCATGTGTGAATATTTACTGCACGCCCATCTGCATTTAACTTAACTCGGTTAAAAAAGAAAAAATATTGGATGGTTGTGAGTGATTCATCCAAAATTTGTATAAATTTGGCTCCCTCCATTTCGCTGCACTCACATTCTACTGCCTACTGCTACAGCCACTACCTTCCTTCTCCATCATCTTCTTCTAAACTCACAACAACAACAAGAACAATTCGAATCCAGATTCTCGATCAATATGACGACGACCTCCGTTCTCTTCCCAATCATGATCACCTTCATCTTCCTTTTCACCACCATCACTGCCTCTCAACCCATTACCTTCCCCACCCTTACCATCCACACCACCACTGTGTTCTCCAATAACACTGCCGTTGCCCTTTCGCCGACACCCTCGGCATATTACTGTGTGGAGGTCCAAATTGGACTTCCACGGTTTCCCGTGAAACTGGCTCTATCTACATCAATCCCAACAACCTGGGTGCAGTGGGTTGAATGCGTAGTCTGTTTGGATGTCCCCTCCAAATATATGAACTTCAACCCCTCCGATGGTTTCCAACTTGTTGCCGGGGACGATGCCAATTATTGCGTCCCCCCTGTCGCCAAAACAGCCACATCGGCAGACCTCTGTTGGTACGACATTGGCTTCAGCCAAGGGATTTTGGGGAATGACACCTTCGTATTGGTGTCGCCTGCATCCGTACCCAATCCACCGCCCTCCGCATCCAGTCCACCGCCGTCCTTGAAGATAAACAACTTTATCTTTGGCCTGGGTAAAAAAAACACCGCCAATTTCGGCGCGCGCAGTCCGATAGTCGGACAGCTTGGCCTCGGAAAGGGCCACCCCTCTTCCACCCTCTCACAGCTCAACATCAGCCGCTTCTCCTACTGCCTTCCGCCCTCCAATTCCAACCACCAAAACACGACCGCAACCCTTGAGTTCGGCCCCAAAGCCGGACTAACTACTGCTTACTACTACAATACCCCGATTGTTGAAGGACCCCCCGACCACCCCTTCGACTATTACCTTAACCTCACGGTGATTGCCGTCAACAACGCATCAGTTTACACACCTTCAGAACAGAGAGGAGGGGAACCAGGATTTGTCATTGACGTGGGAGCCACGGTCACCGTCTTGTACAAGGAGGCTTACATCCCGATGAAAAACGCTGTGATGGAATATCTTTCCAGTCACTTCGGACTGTACCCGGTTTACCCCTCCCCACCTGAGTACGATCCCCCAGCTTATGAGCTCTGTTATTACAACGAGGATCTTGAGTCCCTCACCACCCTCACCTACCCGAACATTTCCTTCCATTTCGAAGGAGGAGCGGTGTTGCAGCTGCCAGAATCTCAAGCCTTCCACAACTTTGTGGATGAGCTTCAAACGTGCTTGGTAATGATCCCCAGGACTGGGACAGAGCCAAGCCGGCTGGGTGCACCACAGCAAAGAGGGTGGAGATTCACATACGATCTCCTCCTTTCGGAGCTGTCTTTCGCTCCAAATGGGTGTTGAATCATCCGCCTCTGGGGTTTGGAACTAATAGCAGAGTTAGTCCTATTGCAAATTTCATCAACAATTATCGGTTTATGTTGTAATCAAGCTACTAAAATGTTGAATTGGTTTATCTTGAAGAAGATTAGGTATATGTTAAGTTACTAAAATATTGAGTGAAAAATAACTTATTAGTCATTGCCATGGTCTAAAATATCCATAATATCCCGATATTTCCATCGAAATTTCCGTGTTTTTGGACTACCGATATTTTTTTGGACTACCGATATTTCCGATATCATCGATATTTTAGACCTCGCTAAGTTTCATGTATCTTACCATGCAATGTATAAAATGTAAAATATTGTACTAATTCATTATATATAAATGATTATGGTATATTTAAACTTCTTTCATTAATTACTACATATTTTCTACACTTACAATGTTTGTCAGCTCGCTATATAATCAACTTAAATCAGTTATATATATCATGCAATGCATTTCCTTCTAATTTTTTGTGATAAACTAATAGATAATTGACTAAATAAACATCCTGCAAAGTTTCAATAAAAATTTCCAAGTTTTTCTTACAATTTTCATGGTTTTTATTCAAATTTTATCGATATCGATAATATCCCGATATTTCCATCGAAATTTCCATGTTTTTGGACTACCGATATTTCCGATATCATCGATATTTAATACCTTGGTCATTGCCAATATGTTTGTTGTAGTGTAAAGTATGGTTTTCGAGCATCCGTGCATTTGTTCATTTAGATTTCAGTCTAACGAAACAACATAAACTAGAAACTTCTAGTGCAATCTCCGCCTACACAGTTCCGCATGTTCCATCCAAATCCTTTTCCACCGTCGAGCATCGTCTCATCCATCGCAACTAGGGATGGGCAAATACCCATTGGTTATGGGTAACCGCGGTTACCCGCCCATTTAAATTAAACGGTTACGGTTATGGGTAACCGTTTAGATAAATAAACGGTTATGGGTATAACCGTTTACCCGCGAAATTTAAATGGGCGGTTATGGGTATTAACCACGGTTATAAACGGATAACCGTTTACCCATTTATTTTATATATGTAAAATTAACACAAACCATATTCTCGATTTAATAATACTTAGCACCCAATAAATTAGCAAGGAATTCATCGATCCTTCTCTGAATAACACTACTACAGGAATGATGATTCTCATCATCAAGAAATTGGCCAAATTAATTTAAATTCCTTGTGGGTAACCGTGAAATTGACAAAAATGTTTTGACAGAAATGTCTTCTAAACAATTTTTGTAACCCAATAATACTTAGCAAATATTATATTTACCTTCATTGGTAACAGTTAAAAATATCGTCCGTAAACTATTATTTCAATTATTGGAATGGTACAAAGAGTTAAAAAAATTAAAATATGAAAATGTATGATGAATATACCTATAACGGTGCTTAATTGTCAAAAAAAAAAAAATTATGACAATTTTTTTTTAATTTTCAAGTTGTTAAAACATGTAGACGGGTGAAAAAGGGTAATGGTAAAAAAAAAAGATAAACGGGTTAAAATGATAAATGGGTAAATGGGTATTAAACGGTTACGGTTAAATGGGTATGCGGTTATGGGTATGGTTAACCGTTTATAAACGGTTATGGGTATGGGTATAACCGTTTAGGCAATTACCCAACGGATAAACGGTTATACGGGTATGAGCATAAACGGTTATGGGTAAATTAACCGCAGTTACCCGCCCGCATAACCATTGCCCATCCTTAATCGCAACTTCCAACTCCAATCTGCTCCTCGAGCACAGCCATAAAAACAGGATAGTCAACAATTAATCAAGAGAAGCCAACTCCCAAGATGAAGCCCTTGGAAACTCACGAGAGTCACTATCGGTTAAGGCATACAACATAAAGAAGGTGGTGGTGTTGGAAACACTCAAGCCGATGAAAACACCCCAAAACTCAACGCATGATCTCAACATGATGCATAACTAAAGATCGGAATAGGAATGAGCCAGGAGGAGGGATATTCATGGAGGCAGAGGAACCGTACAAATCAATAAAGAAATTAGAGGGAAAGTAGAAGCCAGGAATTGAGAAGAGGAAGAAAGAAAGGGGGAAGGGCAACCGACCCCGGGTGAAGCTAGGGTTGGCCCCACCATATTTGCTTAAAATTAAAAGCCTTACACTAAAAGTGAGAAGAACTTTCAAAACGGAGAGAAAGACTCTCACTAGGAGAGAACTGAGGTTAGAAGCTAGTTATGTTAGAATTTTCAAGGTTTCTATTTTAATATGTTAGTGCTGATTAGGGGTGGGCGCGGTGCGGTTTGGTGCGGTTTCGAATGAAATCACAACCGAAATCGAAACATTTTGCGGTGCGGTGCGTTTTTGAAACCAAAACCGAAATGAAACCAAACCGTTCGATTCGGTGTGGTGCGGTTTCAAACGGTTTCGGTTTGGTTTTTGAGAAAAAAAATGTACAATTTAAAATATACACCTATTTATGCATAAGACGGTTTTATTTTCCTCGTATATTAAATAATGAATATGCAGTAAAATTGCAGCAAAACTGCATAAAAAACAGTAGCAAAAACTGCACAAAACTACACCAAAATTACACCCAAAAATAATGCAGCAAAACTGTATAAAAAAACAGCACCAAAACAGCACCAAAAATTGCACCAAAACAGCCCCAAAACTGCACCAAAAAACTGCACAAAACAGAACAAAAAATCTGCACCAAAAGTGCAGCTAACTTGTACCAAACTTGTACCAAAACTGCAACAAATGACAACTACTAAAATTGAGACAACATCCAATGCATCAAAGGATTTAAACTTTAAATCCTTATGCATGACATCTACTAAAATTGAACTTGATCACCAATCACAATACTTTACAACCCAATTGAAAGGTTAAGTTTGCCATAATACAAACCTATAAGTTATAACCTAGTTGAAAAGTTTAACATATAAGTTATATAACATTTATTTATTATATGGTGCGGTTTCGGTTTCGGTTTCGGTTAGACCTGTAAACGGGTCGGGTTTATTGGGTTTGGGTCGGGTTCAACCCGACCCGTTAAGTTAACGGGTCATCCGAACCCAACTCGTTAAGCTAACGGGTCACCCGAACCCGACCCGTTAAGCTAACGGGTCACCCGTTAACACCCGTTAACAATTATTATTATTATTTTTTTTTGCATAAAGTTTATTTTTTGTTATTAAGACTTTACTATAATTACTAAAATATTCTCAACTAACGAGTGCTAACGGGTGTTAACGGGTCCTAACGGGTCTAACGGGTTGACCCAAAGTGACCCGTTATTTAACGGGTTGTTAACGGGTTCACCCGTTAGCGACCCGACCCGTTAAGCATCCACCCAAATACAAATATTAACGGGTTGGGTCGGGTCGGGTTAACGGGTTGGGTCCAAAATGCCAGGCCTAGTTTCGGTGCGGTTTTGAAAACCCAAAACCGAAACCAAACCGTTTTGTGTGCCGCGGTTCGGTTTTGAAACCGAAACCGTTTCAAAACCACAAAACCAAACCGTTTGGTGCGGTTTGATTCGATTCGTGTTTCGGTTTCGGTTTTCGGTTCTAAGTGCCCACCCCTAGTGCTGATGCGTATTCCAATTTTTATGTCAACCAAGAGGCTTAACTGTCTCAAATGCTTACTACAACACAAGGAGAAGTCCAAAGATGAGCCTCCCATCCTATGTACGTAGATGTTGAAGACAACAGTTCTTGGTCCTATTTCTGTTTTAGAGGGTTATTGTACAATAACCTTATGTATGAGACCATTGAGTTACTTCTTATGGTCAAGCCAATGAATAGAACAAAGATACAATAATCTTGCAATTTTTATCATTTTCATCGTCTCCTTTTTCCTACTTTTAAAAAAGACGTTTGGAGATTAACACCCTCTTCGTCCAAAACTAAACTTTACAACAATTTTTCATTAATATATATACCAATCAATACAATGCAATGAAGCTTTCAAATCACACACAGAGTTCGAAAGTCATTTTGTTACACATTTAGGAGAAGTTATTCTCCGATGATTCACTTATAAGCTGTTGGTAGCTATCCCTCTTTGAAGCGAAGTGCATTCACAGAAGTATAGTTAGGGGTAATTGTAGAACCATGATTTTCTGGAACCATGCATGTGCATCTCAGGTGGCAAGACTGACCATAGCCCATGGAGCATAGTTCCAAGAAGCTAGGCTTAAGCCCATTGAAGATATTACTTGTCTCCCAAGTAAGGAAACTCTAATTCAAGTCAAATTAGGATACCTTGAGGGTTAGACAACGTAATCCTAGGAGGACTAGATATCTTATCCTAGATAGTCTCCTTATTTAATCGGAAATATTTTCTCTATAAAGACTCTTAAGATCCCTATGAATACTCTAACTTATTATTAATCAAGGAACCTACTCTGGATTCTCCATCTTTTCCGATATACATGTATTCTCTCTATGCCTAACAGAGACTCATCTTTCTCACCATTTTAGGCTCAAATCAGGGGTTTGTTCATTTGGAATTGAAATCCAATTTTGGCCCAAATGGGTTCTCTCTCTTAGCTGCAAGGCCCACCCCAGGTTTTGACAAGTCTCTAAAAAGTCTGTTTTATGAAGTTTAAATTTCTAATGATAGACATGCGCTTTTATTGGTACAAACAAGGAACGTTGGACAGGCACCCCCCAAAACATGCAAATTAGTCAGCCATTTGCCCATTTTACCTTCAAGGTTAACGTAATTGTGCGATTGCTATATAGTAATATGGTCTAATAATATTCCTCTTTATTTGTAAATGAGAGGTTTTATGTTCGAATATTACCAAAAATGAATTTGAACCACAATATTATTAGCTCATTGTAAGGCTAAATTCACCCCTCCTTGTTAGTGTAGATAATATCATTTGTCCCAAAACAAAAAAAAACATAATTATGTGACTAAATTTTAGTTTTGGTAATATAGTTTTTTGAAATTTGCTAATTTTGACCGT